CTTACTTATATGATATAATAGCTGACGAGAGTACAAGGGGTGATAAAAAGTATTTTTAGTTTATTTTTCTTATTGGAATGAATATAAAAATTAAGCAATGATTACCCTTGCAAAAATAGTAAATTTAAATAAGTGTATCAGAGTAATGATCACCAAAACAATAAAAGAAACATGTGATGAAAATAAATTAGATCTGAGACAGTGTAGATTTTGGCTTACAGATAATACAGCATACATGTCAGGAAATAATTCAGGTGCTGTTGTTGAGTTTAACTTGCAAACAAATGCATCTTCGTTCAGAATTCCATGTGGTCTACTTGCACTAGTTTAATTTTGAAAATACAGCATTTGGAAAATTGAATACTGTGTCAGGATTATCCTTACGAGAACATCTTCATAATCTTCTTCAACTTGTCTATTATCTACACGACAGTTATAGTGAGAGTAATAAAGAATGTCCATTAAATATGAAATCCAATACAATAAAAAAACTATATTGGATACTATTACAATATACCTTACCAAAGTATTAAAAGCCTATTTCAAGTTGATGGTGATATCAATTAATAACGATGAGTTAATATCTTAAAAATTACAATGCTCATAATCTTTTTGAAACTTGGTACATGGAACAGCTTAGTGAATTCAAAAATTTATCTGAGTAATACATTAAACAGTGAAAGTATTAATTAACTGGATAAATAATGTAAAACTTAATATTTAAGTAAAGTGTATAGTGCAATTTAGTGAATTTTTTTATATGAAATTTTTTAAATTTCTAATCAGGTTTGATAACATATCTCGTGTATTAGAAAATAATATATTCAAATGCCTTATTCCTGGATACTGTGCACATGAGCTTACTGATCAAGTTTTATTTTGGCTTGGTGAATTGCAAAGTGCTATTATTTATTCTTCTATTATTTTTAAGAAACAAATTATTGAAGCATGTTCAAAATTATGTAATCAAGAACTTACTGCTTTATTACATAGTTTAAAATTAGGTTTAGAAAAGGCTTGAGAGAGATTTTTAAAATGGATGAGCTGTTAGGTTCATTTACTCTTAACAATATGTCTATTAGGTGAAAGTAATGGTCCTAACTTTGCACAAAGTATTTGCCATGTTTTCTTGAACCGACAATTGAATGTTGAAATAACAGAAAAGGAATTTCAGTATATTGAACTGCTAAAAAAAGACAAATTAGAAGGAAATATTCAATCATTTGGTCTGTTTAATGCATTAAGAGATCCACAGTTTTTTTAACAATTCCTTATCTTCTCAACATCTCATTCACAAGAACTCTCTAAATTTCCACTCATATATGACTTTGTTAAATATAGAATTAGGTCAATAATAATTCACCAACAGCAATTAGAAGGAATGTTCAATCGATATAATATCAAAACTCACCCTAATATGGCTGACGAAGTACAAGAGGCAAGGCTTCTTCTCTCTAGTCCAAGTAAACCAGAAGTAATGTTCGATCGTAAAGATTTAATAGCTGGCCAAAAAGAGCTACAAAGTAATGTAGCTAAAAAGACCGAAGAAGAGGTTGGTGAGTCGGCAGCTAAAGTTGTTTTAAAAGAATTTATGAAAAAAAATAAAGTTCTTTGAAAAGTACTTCAGTACTTTGAAAAAGAATAAATGCGTTCAAAAAATTTTTAAAATTTATATGCGTCCCGGAGATCTATCCGAATGTGTTAATCTCTCATTAAAAAATCCTAAGTATTGGATTTTATTATATATGCCGCACTATGTTTGTACATCATATGGAGTCTTACACCCCAGTCAGGCATCATTAATTTATAGATGACAGTCCGCAGACATTATTCTATACTCACTTAGTCACGACCAAATTTATTTAAAATGGACAGAAATGAATAAAGACAAATTAATCTACTACAATAAAATCTAATGTTACATTATGACCATGGTTTGTTGATTCATAACTGCACGCCCCGAATCACATACGTACGTACGTACGTACACGTACGACCATTGTCTTCTTAGAATACTGTAATTTAGTGTTATAACGTACTCCAGGCATTTAAATTCCCAGACCAAAATTATGCAATTCCAGACATCTCCAGGCAAGTAGCACAGTAGGAATTTATTTGTGCGAGTGATGTAAATTTAAGAAAATACTATGTACGTACGTACGTATAATACGTACTTACGTAACATTAAGATGTTGATGGGATTTTAATAGTATATAAAAAAACATGTAATAGTAATTAACAAAGTATAAATAGTAGAAATAAAGAGATTTTGCCTATAACTATACTACTCTAACATGAAAAGAGAGTAATACACATGAAAAGGGCCCCATTTTTACAACTTTTCGGAAAATTTTTATTTGATTTTTAATTATTATGTATTCAATGAAATGTTCGCTATAAGTTAAACTTTCGCAAAATGAATTTTAAGCAAAAATTTTTATGTAATAAATTTAATTTACTCAAAATTGTTTATATGTAACCTTTAAACGTGACATTCCATATTAGAACCCTAACTATTATTAAAAAAGATCACTTATAAAAAATTAATGTTATAAGTTTTGCTAACCATACTTTCGTAATTTTTTTTTAGCTTATATCTATGTATACAAACAGCAACATACATTCCATACAAGTTTATACGTACAATACACATTCCGTTAATACCCTTTCAATAGAGGTCCTTTATATAAACATATTAGTTACCTGCACTAACCGCAATAGTATTCGTGTTACATAGTAATAACGATATAAATCTGCAGCTCATTAAAACTATCTTTAACCTAACTAATTATGCTAAGAAATTATCGTTATTATAATGGAGAATGTGCACATTGTAAACGATATAATGCATCACCAGCTTGGTGCCAGACATGTGACCCTCAGAGGGCGTCTCAAGGATGGACAAGTGGAAATAAGATTATTGATTGGATTAAAGAATTTCAACTCAAAGCAACAAAATATGAGAACATAATTGAGTGGATTCCTTTTAATAAATTAGATAATATTCAAAAGATTGGTGATGAATTTTTAGCAACTTGGTTAGATGGCAGAAGAATAATTTCTGTAAACGAGGATAAATGGAATGATAATGATAAATACACACAATCACGCACGCCACCATATGTAATTGACCTTAAAACATTGCATAATTCTCAGAATTTAGTGGATCTTTTAGAAGAGGTAAGTCAAAATCTAATTGATTGATTATATTTTGTGCATATTTTATTCTTATATATTTATAAATTAAATTTACCCATATAATAAGTTTAGGAACCATATAAAGGATGGAAAACTTAAAGTATATGGGCTGACTCAAAACATAGCTACTAATGAATATATGTTGGTATTTGATAATTTTCATTCTGAAAGATTGGGACGGAATGGAACATGTGCACATTGTAAACGATACAATACAACGAAAGCTTGGTGCCAAATATGTGACCCTTATAATGCAACACAGGAATGGACAAGTGGAAATAAGATAATTGATGATTGCATTAAAGAATTTCAACTTAATACCACAGAATATGAGAATGTGATTGAATGGATTCCCTTTAATAGATTAGATTATATTCAAAAGAATGGTGATGAATTTTTAGCAACTTGGATAGATGGCATACGAATAATTTCTGTAGATGAGGATAAACATTGGAATTATAATGAAAAAAAATACACACACAGTCACGTACGCCATTATGTATAATTAACCTTAAAACGTTGCATAATTCTTGGAATATAATGGATCTATTGGAAAAGGTAAGACAAAATCTACATTGATTTATTATATTTTGTGTATTGTTATTTTTATATTTTTATAAATTAAATTTACCCATAATAAGTTTAAGAACCATATAAAGAATACCAAACTTAAAGTATATGGGCTAACTCAAAGCATAGCTACTAATGAATATATGTTGGTATTTGATAATTTTCATTCTGAAAGAAGTAGTTGGAAAGGAAAATGTGTACATTGTAAACGATATAATACGACGAGAGATTGGTGCCAGCCATGTGATCCTTATAAAGCAACACAGGGATGGACAAGTGGAAATAAGATTATTGATGATTGCATTAAAGAATTTCAGCTCAAAGCAGCAAATTATGAGACCGTAATTGAGTGGATCACTTTCAATAAATTATATAATATTAAAAAGAATGGTGGTGAATTTTTAGCAACCTGGTTAGATGGAATACGAATAATTTCTGTAAATGAGGATAAACATTGGAATGATAATGACAAATACACACAGTCACGTACGCCACCATATATCATTGACCTTAAAACATTGCATAGTTCTCGAAATTTAATGGATTTATTAAAAGAGGTAAGAAAAAATCTAAATTGATTGATTATATTTTGTGTATTTTTATTTTCATATATTTATAAATTAAATTTACCCATATAATAAGTTTAAGAACTATATAATGAATACCAAATTTAAAGTATATGGGTTGACTCAAAACATAGCTACTAATGAATATATGTTGGTATTTAATCACTCTGAAAGAAGGAAGCTAAATGGAATATGTGCGCATTGTAAACGAAATAATACAACGAAAGCTTGGTGTCAGACATGTGACCCTTATAAAGCAGCACAGGGATGGACAAGTGGAAATAAGAATATTGATGATTGCATTAAAGAGTTCCAACTTAAATCCACAGAATATGAGAATGTGATTGAATGGATTCCATTTAACAGGTTAAATAATATTCAAAAGATTAGTGATGACAAATTTGGGCATGCATTTCTGGCAACTTGGTTGGATGGTAAACGATCAATTTCAATTCTCAGTCAATCGCGTACACCTTCATATTTGGTTGAGCTTAAGATTTTATCTGATTAACAAAATTCATTAAATTTTTTAAAAGAAGTATGTTAAATATTATATTACAATTAATACATATTCGGACTGACTGATATTAATATTGTTTTATATATATCTTTATTCGTTTTGCAAGTTTACAAATCAAATGCAAACAAAAAGTGATAAAATATACGGAATAACACAATTTGCACCCACTGATGAATATATGATGGTATTAGAAAGTACAATTGATAACGACGATAATGATTTATTTACTTTTAAAAGACACTATTGGCTTGGCAAATGTGCAAAATGTAACCGATTTAATACTTCAACAAATTGGTGCCAGTCATGTGATCCTTATAGAATAACTAAAGAATGGACAAGTGGTAATAAAGATATTGATGATTGTATTAAAAAGTTTCAACTTAATGCTACTGAACATAAAAAAGTAATTGAATGGATACCATTTGAAAAATTAAATGTCATAAAAGAGATTGGCAAAGGAGGATTTGGCACGGTATTTTTAGCCAATTGGCAACAAAATGCTTCGAATGAAAATGAAGATATATGTCCACAATCTATTAAAGTAGCGCTCAAATCTTTACCTGGATCCAAAAAAAGTTCCGATGATTTTCTAAAAGAAGTAGGTTAATGATGTCACTTAATTTTTTCCCATAGTGTATAGTAACTCCAACTTACATAAATGTTATTTTTTTGTTAGTTTAAAAATCATATGCATTGTAGATTAAGTGGTAGTAGACTTGTAGTATATGGGCTAACTCAAAATACAGAAACCGAAGAATATATGATGGTGATTCAATATGCTAACAAAGGAGATCTTCATAATTATCTAACATTAAATTTTAACGAGCTTACGTGGGAAGATAAATTAGCAATGTTAATTGATGTTGCCGAAGATTTAAATAAAATCCACAAGGCGGGATACACCCATTGTGATCTTCACTGTGGTAATATTTTGCAGCATAAAGAAGAATCATGGCTTGGTTCATTAAAATCTTACATTGCAGATTTAGGATTGTCTCGAAAAAATGAATATATTTTAAAAGATGGAATTTATGGAGTTATGCCTTATATTGCCCCTGAAGTTTTATTAGGTCAAAAACATACACCAGCGGCAGATATATATAGTTTTGGAGTTATTATGGCAGAGATGTCAACTGGGATACCACCATTTTATGGATATTCATTTGATATTGATCTCGCGTTAAAAATTTGTAATGGATAGAGACCCAACTTTGCTTTTGGGACTCCTAAGTGCTATATTGAATTTGCTAAATTATGCATGCATTCAGATCCACAACAAAGACCTACCGCTGAAACAATCCGTTCTAAGCTTTCTGAATGGCATAATTTTATAAACCAACCAAATGAGTCTGATGATGAGTCTTATGAATTTTATGAATCAGACAAATTTGATAAATCTGATGAACTTGATTATAATTCTAATGAACTTAATGAATTCGACAAGTTTGATGAACTTGATGAATTCGACAAGTTTAATGAACTTAATAAATCCGATAAATTTAATAAATTTAATGAATTTGATAATCCTGATGAGCTTGATGAATCTAATGAAAAGTTAAAAATTATCAGTGAATTTATGGCTGCTGATATTAGAATTCAAGAGCTTTCAGTAACTTTACAACAATATTCTGATGTTAAATACAAAAGCAGATTGATTAATACTCTTGAAATTGCTCAACGATATAATATAACAGACGGAATTGGTGATTATATGCATTTTTAACTTATTGTTAATATTATTATATTAGTATTAATATCTGTTTGTAATATAGATTCCAAGTTTAATAGTTTGGAAATTCCAGACAATTGACTTACTGTAAGCCAACAGATAGAAGGAATGACTTTAAAAGTTGAGTTTCATCCATTCTTTACTCTAATGTGCAAGATAATTACTTTCTATGGTAAAATGAAAATTAAGTATATGAAATGCCTTGCATATGATATTTGTTAATCAAT